CATAGCATGAGTGTACGTGTGTAAGGGGCAGGGAGAGATGTGGGGCTCAAACTCACAAACCCTGAGATCATGACCCGAGCCAAAATCAAGAGATGGGACACTCAACCAACTGAGCCACCCAGGCACCCCTATACGACAAAAAAATTAAAAACAAAAAACTGAGGGCTGATTTCAGCTTGGGTCATGGGTCTCGAAGTCTGTGGGATCAACCCTCTTCACTATCAGCACTATCAGCCTGCTTGGGATTCTCCCCTCCCACTTGTGCACACACACACACACACACACACACACACACACACACACACACGCACACATGCGCTCTCTCTCTCAAAATAAAAAAATAAACATTAAAAAAACCCACCCCAAAACCTGAGGGCTGAAAGCAGGGCCAGAGCAATGCCTCGGGAAGGAAGCCTCCGGTTCCACTGGCCCCGCAGCGGGGAGGCCACCGTCCCCCAGGCCTAAGGTTGCCCTTCAGGGCGGGCTCTGGGCCGGGGGCGGTGCCGACGGCCACAGAGGGCGGGGACTCACCGGTTCTGGTTGTACTGCACGTTCTGGGTCAGGTCCACGTTCAGAACGATGAAGTCGTGCACGTGGCAGCGGGAGAAGGGCTCCCGCACCTCGGCGCTCCCCGTCTTGCTGGACCACTTCCGCATGCCAATCAGGGCATAGTGGGTGATGTTGGGGGACGCCTCGATGTGCTGCATGATGTGCTTCAAAGACACGTTTCTTTCTGCCCAGGAAAACTCCCTGCTCAAAAGAGGGAGACGGACGTCCCCAGGCTGAGGGGCAAACAGCAGCAGGGCCCCCAGGACCGGATGCTTAGGAGCTGGGTAGGGCTGGAGCACGTGGAGCCCATCGCTGCCATCCTGAGTGCCGGGCACCAGGCTAAGCGGGTCACATCTACTATTATGTATCCTCACGGCAACCTCATGACCTAGACCTATCATCCCCATTCTACAAATGAGGAAAAAAGGGGCTCTGAAGAACTTGCCCGGTGTCACTCAACAGAGCTCGGACTCAAACAGCACCGTCTCCAAAGCCTACCTCCTCCCCATCAGGCTAAAACACTGCATTTCCCGTTTGCAGACCTGAGGGCAAAATGGTGGGGAGAGCGAGGCTTTCTGCTGTGAATTCCAGTAAGGGAATTCACCCCCCCACCCTGACTGCCACTGTCTGAGGACCGTGGCGACGACAGGGACACCTGATGACCGGGAGGGGGCCGGCGGGAGGGGCTCCAGGGCTAGGAGCTGGGCCCCAGCACGCAGCTCAACTCTTCTGGACCCCAGCTTGCTTTTCCCCAGCCAAGGGGCTTAAATAAACTCTCTAGGGCCCTGGCCAGCCCTGACATGCCAGGGCGTTAACGGCTGCTTCAGAATAGAATTCGGGAACGCAGAATGAAGGCTCAATTCTCTCCCAGTCTCAGCCCCCGGCTGAGCTCTTGCCTTTGGAAGAGTGTCAGGGAGAATACTGCCAGCAAAGCAGAACTGCTCCCATAAACTACGGGCAGCTCTATCATCCGGAACACATTTTCTCTCTAGAAGAACAGGGACTAGTGGTAATTGTCACAGGAGGGTACCACTAACATTAAAGAGGTGAACTGACCTCACGTTTCTTAAAAAAAAAAAAAAAAAAAAAAAAAAAAAAAAAAAAAAAAGGCCAAAACAATCAGAAGTCATCAGGCAGCCCTAAGTTGAAACATCCATGTGGCAAAAATCACAAAAGGAAGTATTTTACCAACGATGTTCCGAGTCTATCTACTGAGCCTTCCCTACATTGTGCCCTCTGGTGCCCACCTCCAGGCACACCCTTCAGAGTTTAGTTGTTACACTAATGTCACACAGCAAATAAAAATGCAGCTGGCTGCTAGGAATTAGGCTGGCGGCAGGGGGAGGGTGTGGAAGGCTCCAGGAGGGAATTTCTGGGCCACTGGTGATGTCCCATTTCTTCCAACGGGAGTTGGTTAAATGGGTGATCAGTGTGTGAAAATTTCTGGATATGTGTCCTACTTTCTGTAGGTATTTTACACTGAATATATACTGTGTGATTTTCTGTACGTATTATACATCCAAGAAAAGTTTTAAAAAGTTAAAAACACAAGGGGCCGCCTGGGTGGCTCAGTCAGTTAAGCATGTGACTCCTGATTTCGGCTCAGGACCTGATCTTGAGGTTTGTGAGTCTGAGCCCCCAAATCGGGCTCTGCGCTGACAGTGTGGAGCCTGCTTGAGATTCTCTTTCTCTGCCCCTCCCCACCTCAAAATAAATGAAAAATAAGAAACTTAAAAAAAATTGAAACCTCAAAACTACGCTGGGAATAAGAGCCTTGGACATACAAGGAATAAGAGCCTTGGAATAGAGAGCCTGCGACATACAAGGCCATGTGAACCACATACTGTGCCTTCTAAGATGCGGTGTCCTCTGTGGTCCTCAGGAGGTAGCTAAGAAGCCCCCATTGAAAAGGAACAGCTTTGGGGCACCTGGCTGGCTCAGTAGGTTGATGTCCGACTTCAGCTCAGGTCACGATCTCACAGTTCGTGAGTTCAAGCCCCGCGTCCAGCTTTCTGCTGGTCAGCGCAGAGCCCATTTGGATCCTCTGTCCCCCTACTCTCTCTGTCCCTCCCTTGCTCACGCTCTCTCCAGAAAATAAATAAATAAACATTAAAAAAAAAAAAAGGAACAGGTTCATGTTCCTTGCAGGGTCGGTGGGGGGCATCTCACCTGCTTCTTTCTCCGCCACAGTCTACATCCACCACGTTCCACATCACGCAGGAGTCGTCCGAGATCACGATGAAAGGCCAGATGTCCTGTGGCTTGATCCCCAGCTCCTCCTGCCGGTTCCTCTCCAGCTCCAGATTGTGGTAAGACAGCTCCTTGATCAGGAAGTGGGCGGCGCCTGAAATGGGCAAACCCCAGGCCCACTCTTGGGTCCACAGACATCTACCCAGGACAGGCCCACCCTCAGGTCTGCCCTACCCAGGACCAAGGCCCCATCTGGAGTTAGAACGGCTCAGCGAGGCCCCAGCCCATGACCAGCCAGCTCCCAACAGGAGCTCGGCGCTCCCGGTCTTGCTGGACCACTTCCGCATGCCAATCAGGGCATAGTGGGTGATGTTGGGGGACGCCTCGATGTGCTGCATGATGTGCTTCAAAGACACGTTTCTTTCTGCCCAGGAAAACTCCCTGCTCAAAAGAGGGAGACGGACGTCCCCAGGCTGAGGGGCAAACAGCACCAACCTGCACACACATTTGTCTGCTTATCCTTGTCTCTGACCGTGGAGAATGTGAATCAAAGCAGTGACCAAACACAGAAGAAGGCTATAGCTTTCAAGATGAAAAAGCCTGATGAAGAATGTTTAACCCATTCATCTCTAGGACCGTCTCCCAAAAGTCTCCATTCGCAGGAATTTTACCACGCAGGGCACGTTAAAAAATGCCTACCAACTCCAGCGCTGTTGAAGATACTTGGGAGCACCAGCATGATGTGGTTGGGCCAGTATTTCTTATAAATGGCCATTTCATACTCCTTGACGACCAGCACGTGCAGATGGCTGGCACCATCCATGGCATGGTACAGGTTAAAGAGTCCGTGTTCGTGACGGCCGGTTGTCGGGGTGAACGTCGGACTTTTTATATACTCGTGGCTCTGGAAAGCAGACGAATGAGGAGGGGAAGTGTTTGTGAATACGGTCACGATCACTCCCCTCCCTCTGAAATGGGACTTCACGGAAGCTTCCGGTAAGAGAACGCAGCCAGTTTCCACACTCACTGAATGCAGCTTAGCCTTGGGACTTGCTTTTCCCGAGAAGACGACGGGAACACGATGGTTTGCGCCCGTTCCGAGCCTGGCCCCCTGAGGACGGACACATTCCACCCTCTCTCTCTCAGACCCCTCCCCGGGAGGAGCCGGGGCTGGCCTGCTGGGGCAGGAGAGACCGCAGCGGGCAGGGATGGGCGTCCCACTGAGGCGACCCTCGCCCGGCCAGCCCCCAGCCGACCTGGCAGCTAACCACAGACACGAGTGATCGCAACAAGCCAGGGTAACCACACAGCGGGACCGAGCCCAAGCTGCCAGCCCGAAGAATCGCAAGCGGAGTGAGGGCTTGCTTGGGAACGGTCAGTTACACAACCGCAACTAACTGGCATGTGTCAGTGACCCAAACGGATCCCCCTCCCGTGTTGGCACTGAATATGTGTGGAGTGTATACTAGTCTGGACGATTTAAATCCCTCAGTCCCTCATCCCTGCAGCCAAGCTCCTAATACACTCCGGTTGTGAATCTTTTATATCAAGAACTGGGTTTTCCTCCACTCTGCCCTCAACAGAAAAGTTCTTCTGCTTGAGCTAGGCCTTCCACTCCTTCTGAGTTCCTCAGAGCACCTGCCACAAAAAAGCTGTGCCCGTACCCAGTTCTGGCTGGAACTGGCTGGAACTGGCTGGAAAAGCGAGGGGGGGGAAACAGAGAAACCCTCCGCCAGTGCAACAGCCCGCCCCAGCCCACTGGGTAGGAGACGCCCTGTAATAAAGGCCCCCATTGTTCTTTACAAATGTTTTCAGTGCTTGGTAAAAGACTGCCAGGTCTGAAAGATTATTCCACCCTGAGGTACTGGCCCTCTGGAGATCGAAAAGCAGCGTCCCATACAAGGGTCACATTGGCCGGGGCTGGGGGCAGGCAGCGAGCTGACTCTGAGACGGTCAGGCTGGATCTGTGAAACCAAGCGTTCCTATGAGGAGGGCCTCTAAGAATGCTGGTCACGGACTTCTGGTGGAGTCTATCGGGTTTTCCACGTATGATATCATGTCCTCTGCAAAAAGGGAAAGCTTGACTTCATCTTTGCTAATTTGGATGCCTTTGATTTCCTTTTGTCTGATTGTTGATGCTTGCACTTCCAACACTATGTTAAACAACAGCGGTGAGAGTGGACATCCCTGTCGTGTTCCTGATCTCAGGAAAGCTCTCAATTTTTCCCATTAAGGGATACTAATGGCTGTGGGCTTTTCATAATGGCTTTTATGATGTTTAAGTATCTTCCTTCTATCCCGACTTTCTCGAGGTTTTTTATTAAGAAAGGATGCTGAATTTTTGTCCAAATGCGCTTTTTCTGCATCGGTGTGGGGATCCTTATGGTCTTATCTTTTCATTTGTTAATGTGATGTATCACATTGATTGATTTGCGAATGTTGAACCAGGCCTGCAGCCCAGGAATCAATCCCACTTGATCATGGTGAATAATTCTCTTTATATGCTGTTGAATTCGATTTGCTAGTATCTTGTTGAGAATTTTTGCATCCATATTTATCAGGGATGTTGGCTTACATGACACATCTCCAAAAGCAAGGGAATTAAAAGCAAAAATGAACTATTGGGACCTCATCAAGATAAAAAGCTTCTGCACAGCAAAGGAAACAATCAACCAAACTAAAAGGCAACCAGCAGATAGGAAAAGATATTTTCAAATGACATATCGGACAAAGGGCTAGTATCCATATATAAAGAACTCACCAAACTCCACACCTGAAAAACAAATAATCCAGTGAAGAAATGGGCAGAAGACATGAATAGACACTTCTCTAAAGAAGACATCCGGATGGCCAGCAGCCCACATGAAAAGATGCTCAGCGTCACTCCTCATCAGGGAAATATAAAATCAAAGCCACACTGAGACTATCACCATGCCAGTCAAGAGTGGCTAAAATGAACAAATCGAGGGGACTATAGATGCTGGCGAGGATGTGAGCACGGAACCCTCTTGCACTGGGTGGGAATGCAAACTGCTACAGCCACTCTGGAAAACAGTGTGGAGGTTTAAAATTAAATAGATCTACCTATGACCCAGCAATAGCACTGCCGACGGGTACCCAGGATCCAGGGTGCTGATGCATAGGGGCACTCGTACCCCAATGTTTATAACACTTTCAGCAATAGCCAAATTATGGAAGAGCCTGAATGTCCATCAGCGCTGATGAATGGATAAAGAGAATTGTGGTTTATATACACAATGGAATACTACTTAGCAATGAGAAAAGAAGAATGCAATGTGGCCTTTGTAGCAAGGTGGATAAATGGAGAGTGTTATGCTAAGTGAAATAAGCCATACAGAAAAGACCAGATACCATATGTTTCACTCTTACGTGGATCCTGAGGAAACTTAACAGAAGACCATGGGGAGCGGAAGGAAAAAAAAAAAAAAAAGGTTAGAGAGGAGGGGCAAACCATAAGAGACTCTGAAATACTGAGAGGAAACTGAGGGTTGATGGATGGGCATTGAGGGAGACACCTGTTGGGATGTGCACTGGGTGTTATATGGAAGCCAATTTGACAATACATGTTAACAAAAAAGATAAAATACTTCAGCAAGGAAAAAAAGCCCAGATGAACTAAATGTGGCGAAGATATTTGGTAATTGTTGAATCTGGATGATAAATTCTTGGGAGGTTTGTTGAACCACCTCCTAACTTTTATCAACATTTCACATTTCATAATAAAATTTTTTGATTAAACAAACAAACGAACAAAAAAGAATGCTGGTGAGATGGCGAGTTATTAAACGAGCTTTCGTCAAGAAGAGAAAATTTATCTTCTCTGGATGACATGATGCACCATCACAGGCCAGCTTCCAAAGAACAGAAGAAGGCAGAAGAGGAGGCTGGCCCGTGACAGAGTAGTCCCTGCAGCTGGGTTTGGCCCCTGTTGGGCTCTGTGCTTTGACCAGCACAGAGCCTGCTTAAAATTCTCCGTCTCCCTCTCTCTCTCTGGCCCTCCCTGCTCATTCTCACTGCCAGAATAAATAAATAAATTCCTAAACAGTTCCACAACAGCTTATTCCCCGAGGACAAAATGAGGAAGGGCTGAACACCTCCTCAGCACCTGTCACCTCGCCCAGGCACTGTGCAGGTGCCTCACATCTGATTATTCAGTGCTGCAGAAGCTGCCTCGCGAGAAAATGACTGCTTGGCCACACGTACATGGTGGGAACCGAGGGCCTGGCGACATTCAGTGACAAGTCAAAGGCAACACAGCCAGACAACATTAGAGCAAGGCGGGAACTTGTCGGAGTGGCCTAACCCAGCCGGCTCCACGTTCAGTCACACACCAGTCCCCGCGCCTGCCCTTGACTCATCAGGCAGCCTGGCCTCCAGCTCAGCAGTCTGGCCACTCTGTCCCCCCCCCCAGTCAGGCATTACCTTGTCTGTGACCAGGGGCGTAACTCTCAGCTGGCCTCCAGGTTGGCTGAAGACAGTGGTGCTCTTTGGACTTGGGATGATGAAATGTAGCTGGATTTCCTCTCCCTGGCATGGAGTAAAGAGAAGGCAAAGGCAGTGCAGGGTGGACTCATAGAGCTGGCGTGGGGAAAGGACAGAGCTTGTCGTCAGGATCGGCATTACCTCCCAGAGCCCAAGCCTGTTGTGGCCGTGACACCACACAGGTCACTGCCACCTGCCCTGGCCGAAACCCACAGGCTGGCCCCTGATGCAGTGTGGACGCCGAGGTCGCGCTTGTGGCTGGACAGACACCCGAGGCCACGCCCATGATTCTTGGACCTCCCCCTCATTATTACTATTATTATTTTTTAATGTTTATTTATTTTTTTGGTGAGACACAGTGCTAGCAGGAGGACAGAGAGAGGAGGCACAGAATCGAAGCAGGCTCAGACCTGAGGCTGCCAGCATAGGGGACTGATGCAGAGCTTGAACTGGGAATGGCGAGATCGCTGACTGAGCAGAAGTCAGATGCTTCACCAGCCAGGCCATCCAGGCGCCCCACCCCCCACCCTCATTCTGATCCGCTCTCCACCGGTGGCCACTTCTGGCCCCCAATGTGGACTCGTGCTAAGTCACCCGCTAAAGCATTCACCATACGTCTCATTGCTTAATGCCAGTAAATGGTTGTCCCATCACAGGCGTTATCGTAGAAACTCACTAATAAAACTATCAACTTCGCAGCGTACACACTTCTGTCTGCAGCTGTCACCATTACCACCCTTTGGGCTGTAATTAACCCTAAGATGAGTAGTTTCACCATCCCTCTTTATGGATGTGAAACAGACACTCAGGAATCTTGGGCTCCTCTCCTATCCCTGGGGTCTAGCCTCACGTCCCTCACCCCCTCGGTCGACCCGCACCCGCCCGTAGCTCTGCCCAAGCCCTCCTTCAGGCCTCAGCTCGGGCATCCAGCCCTCCCGACCTCCCAGATACCATGGCTAGCAGGTCAGACCCTCCGGCTCCCCGAGGCCTGGAGGGGTGGACACAGGCCAGGGCACATGGGCGTCACTCCCACTGTGGCTCCCCCCAGAACCACAAGGCTGAGGCAGAGATGAGACAGAAAAAAGATTTTCAGCCTGGGAGGCAACAAAGAGTGATTGTGGCTGAGGGAAGTTTCATACAGGATCAGGGGAGCCGTGAGGAGGAAGAAAGACTCCAGGGTGCTGGGGCACAGAAAGGCCAGCGAGGGCAGGCTGTCATGCCCCTCAGCGCCTCCTCCGTGGCCTGGTTCAGTCCCCTGCAGCCAAGAGCCCCCCAGACGGAGCACCCCTGAACTGCGGGTCGCGGGGCGAGATATCCTTCGGTTCTGTTAACTCTGCAGGCGCCGACCGTGGTGACCCGCGACTCTACAGCCTGCGGTCTCGTTTCTTTAATGTCAAAATTAAGAGAGCAGCTCTCCGCATTACATACTCTCTTCCGCTTTGAAAGAATAGCTTCATCTCCCTTGGGGGAAAAACATGAGAGGGCCGGTTATCTGCACAGGATTTTAATTCTGCTGAAAAAACTGCTCATATGTGTTTTCTAATTTCTACAATCAAATCGCATAGTTTGTTTTTTGTTTAAACCGTCTAAAGAAGGCGGGTGCTACTTCAGCGACAGCTATGAGCTCTCCAGGCCAGCCCAGGATGTGGGAGGAGTAGAGCCCCTATCTACTCGTCCCTCTGCAAAAGGGACAGGCAGCAGGCAGTGCTCGAGCCACCTCTGGAAGGTGCCAAGGCCCTTCACAAACAGCCAAAGGCATGGGCTTTCCGCGCACCAGCTCTTTCTCCTCCCCTTTCCCTGTAGGTCTGAAATGAAAACACCACTAGGCAGTAAAACCCCACCTTCACTGCTTCTCTTGAGCCAGCCTCGCAGACCCGCTGTAATTTCCACGTGTGCAGCCCCACGCGAAGGCAGCTCAGCCCCCATCAGGCCGGCTCCATGCCATTCTCCTGTTGATCCGCTCTCGCCCAGCACCGGGGCCTTCTGTGAGTGTCTCTCCGCCCCCCCACCCCCACCCGGCATCCTCTCCTGGGCTGCATGCCTTGCACCTTATGGTCAGTGATGCCCGACTGAAATCCCTTCTAATTCCCCAGAGACCCCGTGCCTCCCTCTACTCACATGCTTCTGTCTGCCCCGGCCCCTTGTAGGCAATGATTCTTTAAAACCCTCTCCTCTGCTCCCTGCCCAAGACAGTATCTTCATTTATAAAATGGGGATAATGTTATTTCCTTGTGCGGTTTTAGTGAGAATAAAAAGCTAGACAGGGCAGTTCCCTATCCAGTCACTCTGAATGAACTGGAGGTGTGCCTTGAACACAGCCACCTGCACGTGACCAGCCAGAACCTGAGACAGGCAGAGTCCAGGGGCAACAGCCTTAATCCATTTGCCCCAGTGTCTGGCGTAAATATCATTTTCTATCACGTAAAAAGGTTAGAGGAAGGGGTGCCTGGGCGGTTGGGTTGATCGAGCGTCTGACTCTTGATTTGGTCATGATCTGCAGTGGGGTTTGAGCCCCCACGTCGGGCTCCACGTTGGGCGTGGAGCCTGCCCAAATTCCTAAGTCTGCCTCCCCATTCACTCACCCACTCACCTCCCTCCCTCTCTCTCAAAACAAGAAAAATAAAGGTTAGAGGAAATATGGACGTATCGAAAGTGCCTGGTGCATTGCCTGGCATGTAGTAAGTGCTCAGTAAGTGCATGTTCCGATCTCCTTCTCTAAGTATTTCTACGTGCCAACATTACTGCTTTTCTTGTCAGCTTTACGTTGCTCTGAAGTTCTGCCCTGTCCAAGTGCATCTCTCTACCCCTAGATTGTGAGTCTTATTTTTATGTTTGTTTATTTTTGAGAGACAGAGAGAGACAGAGCGTGAGCAGGGAAGGGGCAGAGAGAGACGGAGACACAGAATCCAAGGCAGGCTCCAGGCTCCGAGCTGTCAGCACAGAGCCCGACGCGGGGCTCGAACTCACAGACCACGAGATCATGACCTGAGCCGAAGTCGGACGCTCAAGCGACTGAGCCACCCAGGCGCCCCTAAACTGTGAGTCTTGAATACGGGGATAAAGCTTATTCATCTCTGTGACTGGTGCAGAAGCACTCGGTGCCTGCTGCACTGAACTAACTTTGGCAATTGCCAGGACGTCAAGAAAACGAAGACATCCGCAGTCAGTTAATATTGCTACTGGTAAACGTGTAATCCCAAGAGAATCACGGTTTCTGTAGCGTCGGCAATAATTTTGCAGCTTACTGAAGGGAACTGAAGATACAGGAGACTGGGAAGCAAGAGCTTCCGGAACTTTCCACGCCCGCCCCCCCCCCCCCCCCCCCCCCCCCCCCGGCAACCGGAATGAAAACACCAAGGAACATGTGGAAGGGCCGCCGCAAGTGCTCCTGGAGACGCAGGGCCTCTGCGCCCCGCGGCCTACCTGGTAGCGGGGGTGGAAGCCCATGTAGTGGTGACACTGCTCGCAGTGGTGGTATGTGTTATAGGCCGCGTACTTGGACAGCCTCATCCGCGCTGTCTGGCGCCGCACGTAGAGCTCCTCCGGCTTCCGGGATGTCCCCCTGGCTGCAGGAAACCCCGGCGTTACAGAGCCGCAGGAGGACAGGACAGACATTCTCTCCGCCGCCCGCTCAAAGTGGAAGGAACTGAAATGCCGTAATAGGATTTTGTGCGACGGCACCTGCCCGGGCCCCGAGGTGACTCGGCGGGTCAGAAACGACAGAGGTTCAGCGGGAGAAACTAACAGACCACGTTCACGAGGGGTCTCGCCGACGGGCCCACGAATATCCTATGAGCACATCTTTAAGGATTCGCCACCTGACAATGCAAATGGGTGGCCGACTTCATACGCAGACCCTGCACTACAGAGGAATTGTCTCTGTTCTTTTCAAAGGACTTAGCGAGATGAAGACTTTAACACTAAACCTTAATTAGGGACTGGTCTGTATGAAGGATCATTCGCTGAACATGGTTCTAGGGAGAGACAATTATCGGTTTGACACGGAGACTGGTGAGTATCTTCCTTTCCTTTCCACTCACCAAACTGTTCTGGTCAGTGCTTAATATCGCACCGGCCACGAATATCTGATGGTTGCTGAAGGTGACCCTGAAACCCTGCAGGGTCATAATGCTGTGAAAGTCGGTGGTCCCCGAAGGAAGAGGGAGAAAACAGGACACTGAGGGTAGAGAGGGAGATGGGTGCATTTCGTGAGGACAACTCAAATTCCTACATAAACATCCACGCCTTTTATCCTCTCTTAACCAGAACCTTGAGGATATTCTGACCGTGACCACCCGCCAAGAGAGCGTGCATCAAGGTCAGCATGCGCTGAGCCACAAGCCTGCCTTCGCGGGAAGAGCTCTTCTTCGTCTGGTGGGGCGGTGACCTCAGTTCTGTACCAGGCACTGCTGGCTATTCACCACCGCACCACCGAGCTCACCACCGACACGGTTCCACTCGGCCCTTTGCGAGGCTCGACCCTGGACTCTGGAGGAAGGTGGGGCAAGAGATTTAGAAGTCTGACCTTCACTCTTCACGCTCTGAAGGTGCGAACAGATCAGACTGGCGTCTTCATACTTCGGGTCGTGAATAATGTAGTCAAAAGGCAACTTCTTGAACAGCTCCAGGTCTGGCCAGGGGTCACTGAGCTGGAGGTAATGCCAATCGGACTCCTCTCTGAGGTCTGTAAGATCGTTGGAAACACAGGCAGGTGACAAACTAGGAAATGAGAATGACTGATTTAAAAAAAATTTTTTTTAAACGTTCTTATATTTTATTTTTGAGAGAGACAGAGTGTGAGTGGGGGAGGGGCAGAGAGAGAGAGAGAGAGAGAGAGAGAGAGAGAGAGAATCTGAAGCAGGTTCCAGGCTCTGAGTCGTCAGCACAGAGCCCGACGCAGGGCTCGAACTCACGAACTGTGAGATCGTGATCTTGGGTGAAGTTGGATGCTTAACCAACCGAGCCACCCAGATGCCCTGAGAATGACTGATTCTGAAATGTGTCCAAGGACGATGCTTGTGGTAGAGCTATCACTGAGTCTATGGGCTACTGGGGGGGAGGGGTGCTACTGTATCTCAAAAGCTCCCAGAACATACTGCATTTTCAGGATTGTTCTAAGGAGGCAAGAGGTGCCTCTAGGTCCACCTCGTAACCAGAGGACCTGCCTATGCTGTGTTTCCCACGGGATGAGTTTGCTTTCCTGGCTCCCCCACTGACTTCAGCAACTCCCAATACACCTACCACTTGCTCTGAGCTTCCCCCCAGCGCCATCCCCCACATACGTAGGTTCCCAACACCAATGGAAGCTAACATAATTCTTGTTCTTGTTTGAGATCTAAACACTATGCAGCCAATATGGCCACGTCCTATCACTGCACCTCTAGAAAGCCTCTTCCAAGTGTTCAGACCCATTGGTTCCTCCCTTCTGAATGCCAACACCACACGTGGTCCAAACTCCATCTTTACACTCGCCGTGTATCATCTTGCGATAATTGGTGTAGTCTATGACGCTCACACTAATTGCTTGCTGGCTCAAAAGCAAAAAAAGTCTAGTTGGTCCAACTCAAATTATGTAACATATTGATTTTACATCTAGGATATGTACACATGACCAGAGCACCTGTCTAGAAGAAAGAGAAGGAAGGAAGGAAGGAAGGGAGGGGAGGGAAGGAAGGGAAGAAAGAAAGAAGAGAGGCATGTTTATTGCATATTTAGTAGGAGCTCAAGGCTTCATATGTAGAACATCATTCAACCTTCACAATGCCCCGTAAAACAGAAATTATCCACGTTTTACCAAGAAAACCAACGTATTAAGAGACTATCTAAGAAAATGGGCTTTGAAGTTTAACAAGCTGGGTTCAACTCCTGTCATTGTCACTGGGGTATCCAAGAAAGAGAGGACACAGAGACTCAACAGGGTTGCTGGTTTTCATCTGGAATAAAGTTCCAAACTGTGGGTGGGGCGGGGTAGTGTGAGAGCTCAGAGGTGGGATGAAGAGCCTCTCTCCTTTTCCTTCAAAGAACGACCAAGGGCTGGATGGGCTTCCTTGGTTCCAGATTTCCTTCAAGTCAAAACTCAAACACGGTCAAGAACATGTAAAGAATACAGAAGTGTTGTGTTTGCAAATGACAGGACTTTCTTCTAAGGCTGAATAATATTCCACTGCGTGTATATACCACACTTTTCTTTACTCATTCATCTGCTAATGGCCTTTTATCCATCAAGGGACCACATATGGTTGTTTGTGTATCTCGCCTACCGTGAATAACACTGCAATGAACCTGGAAACTACGAATATGTCAGTTAGCTTGACCGCAGTGGTGATTTCGCAACGTACATGTGTATCGAATCATCAGGTCGTACACTTCCCACGTAAACAATACCAATAAATAAAAAGAAGTGCCATTTAGCCTCCACGCAACTCACTGGTTCCCTTTCTTTGCAACACGGACCGGACTCCTCACACAAATTTTAATTCCCAAAGCAACGGATTCATTTACCAGACCAAGTTTACGAGCCGGTGAAAGAAAGTATGCAGAGACAATGGAGCATAAAACAGCGGCTCAAAGACAGTCCTACCTTAATAAGGGCAAACTCTGTTCCGAGAATAAGGATAAATGGCTTTCCCCCACATGTCATATACTTGGGTTTTGCCCTAAGATATTGACCTATGCACTCGGCTGCCTGAGTGGGGACCTGCCCAGATGGATAACCCCGCTTCTGAAGGCCACGGTCAAATCCAGCTCAGTTCCAGCTCTGCTGTCTCCCAGCTGGGTTCCTGAGCAAGTTACTTATCAGGAAATAAGCAATTATTCTCATGGTAATGTGCAGAAAATTAAAAGTGGCCATTTATGTAAGGTACCCAGCACACTGCTTGCCACTTGGAAGATACTCCGTAAACAGTAGTTATTTTTAGTGGAGTAATTCCATCCCCATGAAGGCCTCCCAGGCACTATTCTGATATTGAGCAAGATGACGACAGACAAGGGAGAGACAAGAGCACCCCACAAGGCCCCGGCAGTGAGCGTGGTCACTGATCTGAGAATTCCATCTGGAGGGCAAAAGACACAAAGTCAACCCGAGCAACCAGTGACAGAGGATTCCAACCCCAAGGGTCACCAACGCACGACTCACGGATATTGATCTCTTCTTCATCATAAACATCCACTTCCGTCAGCCGGATGAGCATTCTGGACAAAATACTAAGGAACTGCAGGTAAGCACCTGTCTTCCCAACCTGTGAAGACATTGAAATTGGAGCCCACAGTCCACACACCATCTACGTGCAGGCACCGGCCGGAGCACCGGACCCACTTCGTTTCACCCACCTTTTTCAAAGACCTCGTCTAATTAAAGCGAGAACCTGGGGGGCGCAAAGCCATTTCTGGGGAAACGTGGCCCCAAGAAGCACGGCAGGCTGCAGAGGGACTTCCGTGAGCGGCAGACCCGCCTGCTTATAAATCACGGCAATGTGTCTCTAGTTTTAATCGGTCACATTTTCTAAGCTGTTAGAAATAGGACTTTACCACAAACTGAAGGAAGGTTGCTTCAAAAAATGAACTGCCAATATAAAGCATAATAATGTCTTAAGAGAATCTTGCACAATTACAGATTGCTATTCTTGTGTTAATACGTCTATGGTAAGAGAATAAAATCTTAAGACATAAAAGGCTGGCATCTCATTTCTCCTCTCCTAAGACCAGGAAAAGAAATAAAATTATTTTTCTCTCCTTCCTGCTCTTCCTTCCTGTATCCTAGAGTCCCTGTTCCCTCAGCCCAGCAGCAGGCTAGGACACCATGAATCTTCGTAAAACTTGGTCACAGTTGGTTAAATGGGCACCTGTGGGCCAACTTCCCACCCTGTTACTCCGGGAATGTGCTTTCTGAGCTCTCGGCTCAATGCCTGGTTTGTAGCCAGCACTCAACAAATGTTGATGAACAGAAATGACTTAAGGAAATATGAAATATGACTAGGGGAAGCTTCAGAGAAAATATTTGCGATACATGCAGTAGACAGAGGATTAAATTCTGTAACCTCCAAAGAGCTCCTGCAAAGTAACAGGAAAATGTCAGATGCCTGAAGGAAAAATAAACAGGAGAAACAAAGCAGAAAATCCCTGTGAAAGCCACGGCAGTGACCAAGAAATATATAAAAATATATTCAACCTTAATAAAACTATAAGATACTAGGTCTCATCTATCAAACAGACAAAATTTTCTTTAAGATTGAGATATCCAATAACATGACAGTGTGGAGAAACCAGGACCCCTTTTTCTAGTTTATAAAAAGTTAACAGGGGCGCCTGGGTGGCTCAGTCGGTTCAACACCCGACTTTGGCTCAGGTCATGATCTCACGGTTCGTGAGTTCGAGCCCGTCGGGCTCTGTGCTGACAGCTCAGAGCCTGGAGCCTGCTTTAGCTTCTGTGTCTACCCCTCTCTCTGCCCCTCCCCCGTTCATGCTGTGTCTCTCCCTCAAAATAAATAAACATTAAAAAAAA